TAGTTGCCTCTGCCTTTTTCCAGGAAAATGTGACCTAGCTCTCATCAGTGTATTTGTCTTGATTTACTATCAAAGTACTTTTTTGCCATCAAAAATAGGATGTTTAAGTATTAACTTTAAAAGCATTTTAAACCGCGAATAAAACGTAAACAACAACAACAACAAAAACCAAGAACGTGCTTTTCAGGGGCAAGCAATGTGAGAGTAGGAAAGGACTAGATCTTCTGCATTGAGATTTGAAAGACACTTGTGGCTTACTTGCAAAGCTTCATTTAACATTGAGCATACGAGGGAAATTCTGTTCCTGGTGACGGCGCAGTGGGAATTCCCACTCCAACAATCCATGAAATGTTACTGCATAATTATTCACCTTCTGAGGCCCATTAGAACTTATCAGCAGAGAAAGAAATTTAATTTAAACTCACCCCTCTGTGCTAAAGAATGACTGGGACATGAGATCAAAGCACGAAACTCTGTCCTTCAGTGGTTTGCAACACCTAGATACAATAGGGTGAGAGAACGCGGCATTCCAGCGCTTCCCGGCTTTCCGGACCCTGGAGCGAGGGGGTGGGGTGGGAGCTCCCATCACCAGCTGGTTTGAGGGAGGAGGGTGGTGGCGGCTCCGGAGGTGGACGTGTCAATTATATCCTGGATCTCCTGGCGGCCAAATTGCTCCTACCCATGGCTTCAGGGACTTTTCGTGCGAGATCCACACGGTTGACTACCCATTTCCTTCCCCACATAGGTAATCCGCTCAGCAGAGCTCTAGTTTTTCATCACAGGAGGGACATGGCTGGAACCCAGTAATGCACAGGTGTTCGTCCCAGGAAACTCGATTATTGTAAGTGCTTAAGATTTATGCTGCCTCCTACACAGAGCGCTTTAAAGATATATAGAAGTGCGTGCGTAGCCATCAATAATCGCCAGCTTTAATGCTTGGCGTTATCTCAAGGATGCAAAGTGGAATCCATGGGTCCAGTCTGAGCTATGAGCTTCCAAGACCAGAAGGCCTAAGGTCTAGAAGTATGTGGGTGGGGAGTGCAATTCTACAAACAGCCAGCTCCTTTCCTGAGACAACCTGGGAAGCGGCAGGTACATTCTCCAAGTAAAAATCTTTAAAGGGAGCATAGTGCTCTTTTCTGAGGGGTTGATCTATCCTCATGTCCTTTCATGTCACCAAAATACAACCTGGAGAATATTATTCATGCTCCCCAAATATCTAGCATGCCCAAAAGATCAGAAGGAAGAGCAGAGGGGAAAGGAAGCCCACCTTTCGGTGCAATTCACTAAAGAAAAGTTTAGTTCTGCTCAACAGGTATCCTGATTCAATATATACCTATCAAATTCCTTCCCATCACCCCCCCCCCACCGCAGGTAGTCACTGGGGTGGCCGTTAAATTTTTCTTTGACTCCTGAAATCAAAAAGTTTTCACAGCCAGTCAGATTCAATTTTTGCTCTCTTTATAATAACAGCATGAGAAAGGGTGCTTACGTTTCTCTACTGAGTCTAGCAAAACTCACAAGAAAATGACAAGAATAAAACATCCCACCTGTGGAGGACACTGCACTTTTTCGAAAGCTGAGGGGAAGAGAAGGCTGGTGTGAGTGACTACAAAGCACTTTGGTTAAGAGAAGTGCCCAGGAGGTGAATGGGAGTAGGCAGTCGAGGGCAAAGCCGAAAAGAAATCTACAAGTTTGGGAAGAATGACCTCGGCCTGTCTGCAACACAGCAGGTTCGGGTGGCTCTGGCAGGACACAGCTAGGGGAGCTCCACCTAGGGATAAGGAGAGAGGCACTGAGGCCCTAAGCTCTGGGACAGCTAGTGGCAATAGGAGGTTGCTAATAATTTGGAGAATAGGGTAAGGGACAGGAATCCTTCGCCCTCATCGTTCCCAGCTTCATTAGAGGGCTCAGAGATGAACGCGGGTGAGCTTCACCGAGGCGACTTTAAGCCTGGGTCAGGCACACCAGGAATGGCAGGCCGGGTTGAGACAGTGTAGTCCAGGCGCGAAGCGCTCGCTGCAGGGCGGGCACGGAGCACAGGGTGGCGCTCTCTGTCCACGTAGCGGGCGGAGGCGGCTGCAGCGCCTTTGTGTGCACAGAGATGTGCGGAGGACCGCTGACGCCTACAATCGGAGGGGCGGGTGGGTCCCAGCCTGGGCCGGGGCTCCCGGAAGACCTTAGACCGCTGCCCACCTTCAGATACTACCCTCCAGCGGGGAATGAGGCTCACCAGCCCGGACCCCTTCCGGCAATATTTCCAGGATCTGAGAGCCCCGGTTACGTCCAGGAGGGTATAAAACAGGACGTAGCTTTTAGAAAGGCCGGGAAATCCTCTTCAGTTCCAAACCTCCCCCTGATTTCATTTAAAAAGAGAAGAGAAAAACTATAAGCAGGCTGGACCTTAGCAAAGACCCCTGCGGGAGTCAGAGGGCGCCTCCAGCCTTCTCTCCCTCTCAGCAAGAAGATATTGCCCGAGGAGCAAAGTTGGGGAGTGCGCTTAAAACAAGATGAACTTGAAAGCATGGCTTTAGAACAACAATAAAAAAGCGGCAGGCTGCAGCGAGCGCTATATCTCTGGTTCTAGGTCACCCCAGGACCTCCTGTCTGTCCCCAGAGCTCTTGGAGTCCCGACTGCCCTTAGAAACCAAAGCAAAATGTACAAGGCTGCTTTCCCGCCGCCAGGAGACTCCACAGAAAATTAAATTAAATTAAACACGCGCCCAGGGACTAAAGAAAATAGATCCCCCCTCTCCCCTGCCGCAGCAAATCAACACTATTGCTCATAGTAAGTGCAGCGAATCTAAAGAAATAGCCACTGACGCGCGTCCTCTTCAACCATAGCGGCTGGGGTCGAAGAGGGGCAAGGAATTACCGGCTTTCCTTTAATCCGGAAGCAGGAAATAAGGAGGACACAAGGAAGTTCTGCATCGTATTTTTTTTTTAAACAACAACAACAATTGCACATCGAGCAAACTCTTCAAAAGATATCACTCAGAACAACAGCCCTAACTTAAAACAAGTTCAGCATTACTTTTCTGATTCCTGAAAAAACACCATTTTCTTGAAACACAGTGATAGAATTAATCTATTGGGCCATTCATTTTAGGGAGGGAGGAAGGAAGAATGGGAAAGGGGAGGAACAATTGTAGAAACCCAAGAGAGAAAGAGAGGGGTTGGGGCAGGGAGAGGGAGATTGATACTACCCTGGGTTATTTTAGTAATGAAGGGAGAAATAATGCCTGTTTGGACACAATAATCAAAAATCAATAGGAAAATTAAAAAACACAGCTTATTCAAAATACTTGAATCAATACCCCCCTTGAGTCTTATTTTATGAAAAATTGAATAAAATGTAGCCATTCTTTTATTTTTTTCTCTACTATCTTAAGCAACCAGAAAATAATCAAATTTATACTTTTCTTTCCCTGTAGATTCCTGCCTAAATTTGTCAGTCAAAAATATCATCTGACCTTTGAGCTAATCCTCTAAAATTTAAAAAAAAAAACAGTATTTATTTTAAATAAATTCCTCTACAGGCCTTCCATAACATTCCATTCAATAATCCCACCAAAAGATGGGGAGGGGAGTGAAAATATGATGGTAGAACTACTAATCTGCTCACACAGGAATCCAGTCTCATCACCTGTTTGCCTTTAATTTTTAATTTTATAATTTCCTCCCCAAGGGAAGTCCTCTTGAGAAGTGATTCCAAGACTGGGATAAGAAAGAAAACCCATCCAGGAATTCTTTCCAGTGTCAGGTGATATAGGAGAGTAATATTTGTTTAAGTTTCTAGCATAAAATATTTTAGCTGATCCAACCTCACCAAATCACAGTCATATAACTAAGTGATTTAGACCATCCAAAAAGAGGGGTGAGGAGCAAGAAAGGGGGGAGGGGAGAGAAAGGGAAAGAAAGAAACCAGGATAGGAAAGAAACACTCAAGTTTGGGGAAGAGATGAGGATACAGAAAGTTTGGATTGAGCTGTTCAGCCCTATTCCAGTATCTGGAAGATGGGCTGATATTTGCTGGCCACTGGGTCAACAGCTAATTTGGCTCTACCTTGATCAATGCAAGACTGGAAGCTTGTTCTTTGGTTCAAACTGAGACCCAGATTTCAACTTCATCTGAGTGAGTCTCCAGTCATTGCTAAGTGCTTTATCTCAGACAAAGCAGGAAGAGCAGAAAAATGAATTTTGTACTTCATCTCCGTCCTTCCCAAAGCATGTTCATTCCCCAAAGGGTAATTGTGCTCACCTGCAGAAAACTAATCTAGAAATGCTACTCACTAACCATTAAAAGAAACTGAAGTAAAGCTGGAAGGGTGTGAAGCCAAAGGAAGAAGTGAAAATTTGCACATCTAAACAACAGCCAAAAAAAAAAAAAAAAATTAGTCCCCTTTAACTAGCCCAAAGAAATCTTCTTCTAAACAAATCTTTCCTTGCTATAACCCACCTGAGAGCAAATACAGGTTCTACATGTAATGCAACTGAGATTATAAATGTACCAAGCAGCTTTCCTCTTACCTGACACTACATTTAACTCCTTCAGAACCGTTCTTTCCGAATCCCTCAGCACTGCAACTTTCAATAAAAAAGAAAAACACTTAAACTGTGTTCTGCATGTTATTCCTAGGAAGAAAGTGACAGAAAGAGACTTTTTATTTTTTAATCACCATAATTTATAGCTATAGTATACCAAAGAATCAGAGCTTACTTATTTGTCTTAAAACCATAATGATTGGAGGCCTCAAACATCTGCAGACAGCAGGATTAAGACTGCATTGTTCAAAAACATATTTAACTACAAATCTCTAATTGGTTTCTTTTTTCTGGAATTCATAATATTCATGGCACTTTGTATTTTCATAGTTCTATGTATTCTAACCACTTTAAAATCAATTTCAGTGGAAACTTTCACTTCATGATGTATATACCAAGACTGAACTTAGTATGGGAGAATGCAAACAGAAAGAAAGAAGCTAAACTTATTAGAATCTGAACACACTAACTTTTTATTCAATTTGATTCAAAATAATAATATTAATCTAATAGTGAAATAGTTTGATATAACATCAATCAACATTTAAAGTATTTTATGTTTCAAAGTATGGCTCAAGAAACACCCATTGCTTAAATGCACTTAGACATAACAAGACAATATTTTTTATTGGCATCATTGACACCTTTGAACAATAGCCTAGTAAATAGATTAAGGTTTAACCTTCCTTTTCTTTGGTGGCTGTTTAGAGACTTTAAAAGCACAGATAACTCATTTCAACAGGAACCTACTACTGATATTTACCTCTACATAATCTTTAGCTAAGACATGGAATGCCAAAAACAAGCTTTTGTTAGCTTGACCTCCTCCACCTTCTAACAACAAAAGTTATCCCCAAACCCATGTTTTTATTTTAGAAGTATTGATCTTCCAATGTAAGGCTTGGCCTTTTAAATACTAAATGCAATCAATGGCCAACAAGCTGATTTCTTCTGGAGACTTACAAGGAAGAAGAATAGGGAAAATTTTTTCTGAATTGTCTGGTGACTTACTACAAACTTTAAGAGGTAAGTAAATCCTGATGCTATGAGCTAAATCTGGTAAATAATTAATTACATTTCTTAGACTCTATAATCTTTATCTTGGTAAATAGAGAAAACACAGCTTTGCCAAATAGATCTTTCCATCTAATATCTTAAAGGCAATTATTTAAATATTACCACAAAACAGGGTCATATTTTGTTTAAATTAGACATTTAAACTGAAGATAAAATGCATATGTCCATAGTTTAAAAAGGGGGAAAAAATACAAATTAACTGGCCTAGTCTTTTATGAGTTTATTAATACCATTTAAAATATTACAAATAAATCAATTACATTTCATGCATTTAAAATGCAAGTCTAAAATGTTCCAGAGAAAGGCTTTTCATTTCAATGTGAAATATCCAAATTATTTCAACATTACAATGAGCAATTAGTTTGCAGAATCTGCAAACATTTAAATGTAGTGTCAGGAGTGTTTATTAACAGTTAACAATATTACCTTCAGGAAATACACAAAGGCCAAGGTTAGTCGAGTTTCACTTGGACAATTTATTTAATACATGGGTTTTGGCAGACCCAGTTATTATGAAATATAGGAGAACTCTCACTTTAACTATGCCTGAACTGCCAGCAAATGCAAATAAGTACATGCTCCATTAAATTAAATGTCATCCAACATTTATCAAATATTGTCTTAGTTACAGTTTGATACCTATCTAAATTCATATTCGAGCAAAACTAGGCCCCGAAAGTGCGTTTGTGGCTCTGCACCTCCAGAAGTGAGTTCAAAAATCCTGCAGCTCATGAGAACTGCCACAATAACTCTTAATATTTTCTTGTGACAAAAAAAAAATCAAGTTTACTTCAATATATTTTCAAATATTTACTGGAAGTAATGTACAAGAAAAAAATACTATACAAAATCGTCTCTTGGACAACTGCACCTCACACCCTTACAATGGTGGAGTTATATTTAATTGGTAACTAATCTAGAACGATTCTCCAGTTGTACAAACCATTAGGTTCAGATATATTTTACAAAGGTTTTTTTTTTTTCCTATTTCCCTCTTTTGGCATTTAACCTACAGCCTCATCTGAAATAAGTGATACCTTCTTCACTTGTTTATAAGTTTAAATCACACCAAAAAAAGTTTAACCCTAAAATCTTCAAGGAATTGCAAGAATTTACAGGAATGGATACTATACAAATTGACCGCTGGACTAACAAAAAAAAAAAAAAGATGGAGATTATGCTCGGGAGTGGTGAAAACGAGGTAGAAAAGGACAAACACGAAGAGAGTTAATCTGGTCTCACCGGAAAAGGGATATTTTTGCATAAGAAAAAGACACCTACCCTCACCCCCACCCCCACCCCATAAGTTAAGTTAATGTGATCAAAATAACTTTGGGATCAATTATTAGCACAGTTTTGAGAGAAAGACGCGCTCACTGATAAGGGAAAAAAACTAGAAGTGAAACAAAGAGGAAGGCTGCTTTCTTCCCCCTTACTTTTATAGTATTTTTTTTTAATGACAAAAACAATAAAGAAGGCTGTTGCAGCGATTCGCCAAGACTACCCTTTGCTGAAACTTGCCTTGGTTCCACCTCAGGGAACAAAGAGAAAGAGGCAGGGCTGACGCTGGAAAAGCTAAAATCTGCAAACTCTTGGGTCTAGGTGCTGCCAGACCCGCACCCCACCGAGCTTCGACCACCTGCGCCGGGCGCGCTGCGGGAGCAGCAGCCCAGCTGGGCCCTCTTTAGCAGAGACGCCCAGAACTGCGGTTCTGGAACCGAGTCGCTGCCATGGCTGAGATTCCCTGCCCGGCCTCCTGCCTCACCCTTGCCACCTCTCCAACTCAAGCTTGCTCAGCCTAGTTGTTCCCGCCAGCGCGGAAGCTCGAGGTCTCCCAGGCACTACATTCGTCCAGATCTAACTTAAGCGTCCGCTGCCTTCTAAAAGTTAGGGCAACCTGGAATGGAGGAGGGAAGCGAAGGGGCACAGGTTCGAGCTGCACTTGAAAGCCAGGGCCTGGGATATTGATGCGTATTACTTACATGTCCATATCCCTTCACAAAGTTAAGTCAGAGGAAAGAGAGACAAGACACACAGAAAGAGAGCGAGCGAAAGAGAGCGCGCAGGGTGCAGTGGAGAGAGGCTGGAGTCGAGGCCAGGACAGACAAGGACCAAGCGGTCCCAAGTGGGAGGAAGTGGGAGAGTGGTGCGGGGCGAGCTGTGTCACTCTAGGCCGTTGCGGTGCCCGGGCTCAGGGGGCTGCAGCAGCTCCGGGGAGTGGCAGGGCGGACTGCCTGCGGCGCTGTGCTCGCTGTCGGTGTCGCTTCCCTTCTTGCCACCGCTGCCCGATCCCGCAGAGCCGCCGCCGCCGCCGCCGCTGTGCGTCTTCACGTGCTTGCTGAGGTGGTCGCTACGCATGAAGCGCTTGTTGCAGACCGGGCAGGCGAAGCGCTTCTCGCCGGTGTGGGTCCGCAGGTGCCGCTGCAGCTCGTCGGAGCGCGTGAAGCGCTTACCGCAGAAGAGCCAGTTGCACACGAAGGGCCGTTCGCCCGTGTGCCAGCGCAGGTGCGCCTTGAGGTGCGACGTCTTACCGTACACCTTCCCGCAGCCAGGGATGTGGCAACTGTGCAGGCCCTTGCGACGCAAGCTTGCCCCGGCTGGCCCCAGCCGCTCTGCCTCCTGGCAGTTGGGGCAGTCGCAAGTGGCTCGGCCAGAGTAGCGGCGGGCGGAGGAACGCGGGGAGCCCCCCAGCGGCGCCGACGGCCCAGCGCTGAGCATGGAGCTCCCGGCGCCCGCCAGCGGAGATGGGGCCGAGTCCGGGTAGGAGCCCGGCAGAACTGGCTTGAAGCCGTCCATGAGGTGCTGCCCCGCGGGGCTGAGCAGGTGCGAGGAGGCGCCGCTGCTGAAGGCCGAGTGACTCAGGCCTGAGTAATCCGAGTTGTAGCCTCCGAGCGGTGAATGCAGCGAGGTCTGGAGCCCCCCGGCTGCGGGGTGCAGCGAGCCCGGCAGCGCCGCCGCGCCATTCGGGTTCTGCACGTCGATCCAGCCTGCGCCCACGTCCCACCAGCTGGAGGCGCCGGCAGAGCCCACGTCGCCCGCGGCCCCCAGGCCGGGGTGCGAGGGCTTAAACCACGACTCGTATGGGTGCGCCATGCCCACGCGCGGGTAGATACCCTGCAGTCCGTCCACCGAGGTGTGCACCTTGGAGATGAACACCGGTTGGTGGGAGCCGTCCTGCGAGTGTGCGGAGGAGCCTCCGCCGCCACCCCCGCCGCCGCCGCCGCTGCCCCCTGAGACGCCAGGGGCCTGGAACACAGAGTAGTCGTTGGCGAAGGGCGAGCTGGACGCGGCGGCCGCGGCAGCAGCAGCGGCGGCGGCGGCGCTGCTGGAGGTGAGGGAGAAGGCGCTGGAGCCCGGCGAGCCGCCGCAGCTGAATGAGTCGGACACCAGGGCCGCGGCCGCCGCCGCCGCCGCCGCGGCCGCCGCGGCAGCCGAAGACGTGCCGCCGTTCCTGGAGGCCCCAGACACTCCGAAGCTTGAGAGACTGGAACCCACTACGTTGCAGCTGCCGGAAGAAGAGGATGAGGATCTTTTCCAAGGGTGGAAGCCTTTGCCGAAGGAAGAAGTGCTGTCCGAGAGGGAGGAGGGAGACGGGCTGGGGCTGCCGATCTTATTACAGGTAGCTGCAAGCATGGCCAGAGGAGTGGATCCCAACCTCGGTTCTTCCTGCAAGGAGAGGAGAAGGATGGGGGAGGGGTGGTGGGCAAAGGGTCGGTGGGGGAGGGAGGGAAGATATCTGCATTAGTCCTCTGGTGGCTTCCAAAACGCCCCACTGCACCCCATCTCTCGCTGCAGTGCGCAGCCACCAACTCACCTGGCACCCCCAGCAGCCCCGGCGCCCGGCTGCTTCCTACTCTACAGGAGGGGACAAGTTTGGCTGCCGGCGTCTGATTCGGGAGCAAGGCGCCACGCTACAGAAGAGTTTGACAAGTATTCTCACCTAAAACAACACTCTTGTGCACACAGGCCCCAGACACTTTGAAACAAACAAGCAAAAAGTCCAAATTGGGGACGAAGGAAGTTTCCTTTGCCGAGATGCCTGGGGAAAAAACCATTGGATTGCTTTTAAGAGCGTTTCCCCTGCAATCCAGAGAGAGTTTTGAAAATACTGTTCCGGTCCCCCCAAACCCATGCTGGGTTGCTTCTCCCAGACCCAAAGAGGTCAAACTGTAAGGACTCACAAGCTCTTCTTTTTTTCTTTTATTTTTAAAAGTAAATATTAGTAAATATAATTAGTAAAATAAGACGAGTTCAACATACCTGCAAGACAAGGCGGGCTGAGGAATTTTTTAAGGGAAAGGGGAGACTGCAATTTGCCCAAGAAGAAAAACTTGCTCTCTTTACCCCCGAAATCGTCGCATGTAAAATGGGATGCGCGCAGGACTCCCGGGCCGGGAGCGGCCAGGCGCTGCGAGATGGCTTGTCTAAAATGCCCTTCGAACCTTTTCCTGTGCTGAAAAAAGTGACTCGGCCCCCCTCTCCCCCTCTTTCTTTTCTCCAAACTCACTTGTATTTAAAGAGGGGGGGGAGCTCTCAATAGAGAGACTGATAGCCCGTGGCCTGGCCGGGGCGACTTTAACCCCCTCCAATCGGCAATAAAAGGAAACTAATTAAACCAGCAAGAGAAAATCCTGAGACTCACCCCTAGAAGTGAAGTTGCCATCACACAAAAGTGCCCTCCTCCTCTCAGAGGATCTTTTTTATATTGATAAATCAGAGGCAGTGTTTTTTTTAGAGGTGTGCAATACAATGATCAGTTCCGCCCATTCCACCACAAT